ATAATTAGTGTATTCATATTAACCAAAATGTATTGGATAATATTTATACCCAGAAGGCAAAGTACATTACACATATTTCACCTTTGGGGAAAGCTTGCAAATGTTTTGGCAGAGGTATGAATATTTATAGGGAAGAGCGTGCTTTAGCAAGATTATATGAGAAAGCATTTATATGCTCACAAATTTTTACCCAAGGGTAAAGTATACATAAAATGTAGTGCAGAGATTATGGATATGCAAAGTACGATTTTAGCACAGAATTTATATCAGTTTGTTTAATTAATTGGAGCAGAATACTACTTCCCTTATTTATTTTTTTTTCGTGACAGAAGGGCCCACAGAATTCATCTGAGCTTTCTTACTGCTGATCAGTGACACCAAGAAAGATGCGGGGAAGGGTCTTTCCTCTGCAAGGCATCACCTTGTCCATAGGTTAAGCCATCCCCTTTAACGTGTTCCTGATCACGTTGTGTGAGCAATTCCATCTGCTACCTGATGTTACCTGAACACCACGGGAAACATGCAGGCAGCCTCTAGTCAACACCACTCATTTAGGGGCAAATCCTCCAGCTCTCAGCAAGGAGAAGACCTGAAGATGTGCCAAACAGGTTTGCTCACACACAGAAACAGCATCCATGTTCCAGGCTACCCACAGAAGGCACGGAGGATGCGACCCATTTTTGCTTCTTAGGTACAGCACCGGCTCAGCACGCAGTGAGGGCAGCAGCTGTGCCAGGCCTTGAGCTGTGCACAAAATCCTCACTGCAGAACAGAGAGCACAACACACCACAGAGACCTTCCCAGAGAACTCTGCCGGTGCAGCCCAGCCAGTGATTTTTGCCTGCTCTGCAGCTAATCAACAGATGTGGGAATTACCAAGGAATTACATTCTTCCCCACAAAAAAGCTCTCAGGCTTCGTGCTGGTGTTTGCATTTACCTACTGCAGCAGCATTTGGTCCTTTGCTACTCAGATACTCTGCAGTGAGAAGTATGTTTGCAGCATGCGCACAAACACTTCCCTCAGGTGAGAGAAGCTGTGGTAGCACTGCTTCTGACAAGACCTAGATATATGAGGAGGCTCTTGTGTCAATGGTTAGTTTGATTAAGAAATTTCTTCCTGATTTACATTTATATCAGAGATTCTTCATTTTTATAGCAATTTATATGTGGCCAGTCAAGAATGAGCAGGAAAAAAAAAAAAAAAAAAAAAAAAAAAAAAAAAAAAAAAAAAAAAAAAAAAAAAAAAAGGCAGGCTTAAAATGATTCATTCAAGTTCTTTCACATTAATTTTCTCCTGAGTTATCAGAAATCATTCTCAAGTATTCATGCCTTTCTTGCTTTTCAGAACTGTTGAATATTGCTCTACATAATCCAGGGTTTGGTATTCCTTAAGCCATAGACTGTGGCTCATGCAAATCCTGACCTATACATGTGAGAAAGGTTCTGGCTTCTGAAGGTGGCCCTTCCGTTATGAAAGGAAAAAGTTAAAATAAGTTGCAAATGATTTTGCAAAAGGATGGTTGTTTTGACAGTCATAGTGCCAGTGTGGATAGCTGCATGAATGTGTAGAACTCACACTGTCATTTGCTGGATTTTGAGCTTTCTTGCAAAATAATTTAGCCCAAAAATATCCTTAGGGAAAATCATTAAAACAAGGGGAAAAAAAACCCAAACACCTCTGATTCATACTGGATAAATTGCCTTTTTTACTGGATAAATAACTTTGTCCCACAATAAGGAGAAACTAGGAAAGTTGGCAAGCGTGGGATAGCAGAAAGACAGGAAAGTGGGAGGAAGACAAGGGCTAAATAAATAGGAATAAAAATAAATTAGTTTCTAATGTGCCTTTCAGAAGTTCAAAATAAATAATTTGTTAGAGATTTCTATTGATACCTGCTGAATATCTATCATACCAGCTGGAGGGTATTTTGCTATGTAAGTGTAGTTTCTGAATGTTGTATCAGTTTGGAAATATAAGTCAAAGACATTTAGTACTTATGAGAACACCATTTTGTCTCTTTCCACATAATGGCAAACACAATTCAAACCAACCTAAATACAGGGAAACCCACTTGATGAGGCTGACCTTTGTGATGCCCATGTGAGCAATCAGGGTGTTCATGGTACTCAGGCTATGGTCTGAAAAACACATATTCAGATCAGAATATATTAATGGTATTTTCCTTTGTCAGAAGGTAAAAGCATCTAAAACATCCCCTTGATCGTCTCTGTTATGATGCTGTTCTCAACATTGTTTTGTATGATTAGAACTAGAACTGGATTCTACAGCAAGCTGAACCAGAAGAATTTCACCTGTGACTTCCACAGATGAAGGACTGGATCCGTCCTTATAGTGAAGTCAAAGAACCCTGCAGGAATTCTGTATTTGACTGTAGGGGGAAAAAAAAAAAAAGGGTTTTATCAAGTCTTCCTTTTTATTTTTTTTCAACATAGCTCTTGATGACTGAATCTATGCAGTCTCTGCATATAATCCAGTAACAAGTTCCTTGCTTTGGCTTTGAGCTGCTCTAGGCTTCTTGAGTGGCCATGGACAATGGATCCCATGTTGGGATCTGAAAGCTGGTGATTCCACATGAAATGCTAATTGTAGAGCATCGGTTTCCCCATTCCTCTTGGCTTTGAATGATGCAGGGAAAAAGCAGAGTGGAAAGGCATTCTGCTTTATCCAAACCTAATCACCAAGGAAGTTCCCAAGTATCAGTGTTTTGGATCAACTGGCTTGACACCTGGAAGGGTGAAACCACCCTCTAACAGTGGCAGCTCATGTCTAGAAAGGCTCAGGAGGGAGAGCACCAGTCGCTCTCCCAGCTGTTGTGTCCTTCCTGCACATCCCAAGACTTACAAGGGAGACAGAAGCGATCCCCAGGAGTGCTGTGCCAGGCCAGTGGCATTCTTCTTGTGGTCATAGTAAGTTGTTTTCCTTTTGGCTTAAGGACTGATGTTTTCAGCAACTTCAGCATCATCAGACGCTGAAGACAATGGTCCTAAGGAAATGCAGTGTCTCAGCACTGTACGATGCTAAAATATTTTTCTCGTCAATGAAGAGACAAAAGTTGCTGCTTGAGGTGGCACATCCATTGCCAGAGAGCAACAACATATTGTCCGTGACAAACAGAAGCAATTATTTGTTGTTGGTGAACTGATGACACACTGCTGATCAAGGTGACACTCCTTTTGATGCCCCTGCCTGTTAACTAGGCCTCTGGAGGCATCAAGAGCTGCTCACAAGTTTAGGAAAGAGACATATACAATAAAACAACAGCTCCCACAATTCTTATTTCCAGGAAGAGTGGGGACTCCCAGAAATCCTACTGCAAGGAGCCTGAGACCTGGTAGCTGAGCGGTGAGTGAAGGAGCTGTGCAAGGAGACAGCCCAGCTGAGTGTAAGTTCGTAAGAGTTGGTGGGCCTGGCCTGGGGCTGCCACCTCCCCAGGGCTGAGGTGCTCAGTGAGAACAACTTCTGGAATTGTCCACCCCGGTCCCAGCTGTTCAGTCAGTGGATATCTTTTTTGAAGCAATTTAAGAGCCTGTGGTATTCTGCTGCCGTAGCGGTCTGCAGCGTTAGTCAAAGCAATTCTGCTCTCCGCTCAAGTCTAATTAAGGGTAGCTCTTGCGTAAAGTGAGTTAAATTCAGTAGTCACAGCCCAGACCCCATGGAAAATAGTCTAATTCAACTACAGTAATACAGTGTAATATAAATATAATGGAAATACAAAACCATATAATTTAATTTGACATGACTGGCAGTATTTTGCTTAAGTCGGTGAAAATGCACGAGTGCAAACACTGAACTTCCCTCTTCGATCTTTTACCGTTAGCGTACTAGGAAGGACGTTTCAAGATGACTTTGCACAGCAGCAACTCAAACAAACGCACTGAAATACACATATTTCAAGCTCTCTTTTGAAAATACATGCACATTTATAATTTGTAAATGTCTTAGTTGCAGTAAATTGAATTAAGTATGGTCTATATTTTTCTACACTTTTCCTGTGTGCTCAGAGGAGAGAAACAAATCCACGTGGACAATCCAGGTGCACCTCAGCCTCAAACCAGTGCTTTTAGCCAAGATGCCTTCTTGCCCCTGCGAGCTCAGCTGCCCCCACATCGGCAGTCCTGCCATAGGAAAAGTCCTGGCCCCTTCCCAGGCCAGGGAGAGCAGCAGGGACCACACTGCTGCTGCTGCTGCCACCATTGGCTCACGGCATGGCAGGACACGCAGAGCTTTGGGCACCCTGTGCCCACCTGCCCTGTCCTGCCATCACTGCCAGCACCAGAGACCAGCTGGGATCCTGCACAGCAGTGAAAAAGAGGGTGCAGTGTAGACTGTTTTTTTTCTTTCCCCCCAGCAGGTTTGCTGGGCTACAGGCAAGGAGCAGGTGAGAGCCTGGGAAACAGTTATGGGGGGTTAGGAAAATTCATAGAATCATGGAATGGCTTGAGTTGGAAGGGGTCTTAAAGACCATCTAGTTCCAACCCCCCTGCCATGGACAGGGACATCTTTCCTTAGAGCAAGTCACTCAGAGCCCCCTCCAACAGGGCCTTGAACACTTCTAGGGTTGGGGTATCCACGGCTTCACTGGGACACCTCTTCCAGTGCCTCACCACCCCCATAGCGAAGAATTTTTTACCAATATCTAATCTAAACCTACTCTCTTCCAGTTTGAAGCCATTCTCCCTTGTCCTGTCCTGCTCTTCTGAGCTTCGGGGCGTTTTCCACAAGGACCCAACCCACACTGGACCCGGGGATCCCAACACCTACACCTCAAAATCCCAACACCTTTCCTCCCAGGCTCCCAACACCTTTCCTCCCAGGCTCCCAACGCCTTCACCCCGGCATCCCAACGCCTTCACCCCGGCATCCCATCACTTTCATCCCCTCACACCGTTACCCACCCTCTTCCCCTCCCGCCGCCCCGGGTCCCCCTCAGGCCCCGGCCGGGCGCGTGCGCGCGCCTGCGCAGAGCCCGCGGGCGGCGGGCGCGGCCATGGCGGGCTGGACGTGCTGCCGGGTGGCCGCCGTGTCGTGCCTGGTGCTCTGCCTCTCCCTCCTCCTGCCGCGGACCTTCCTGCCCCGGGCCGGCGGCCGGCAGGAGCCCGGGGCCGCGCCGCACGCCGCGCCCGCGCCGCCCGACGGTAAGAGGCCACTCCTCGCCGTCGCTCCCCCCCCCCCGTCCCTCCCTGGCCCAGCCCCGCTGTGCGGGGCGAGCCCGGGGCGGGGGCAGCGTGAGGGAGCTCCTCCGCACGGGGTGGGAACGTGGCGTAGTGCCCCCTTCCCCCGTGCTCCTCCCTTAGGCACGTGTGGAGTGTCAGAGGATTCATTTGTTGTTATCGCTGAGATTTGCCTCCTTTTGCCTCCTTTTTTTTTTTTTTTTAATCTTCCAAATTTCATTTAATTCATGTGTGGGCTGTTAAAGCTACGGAAAAGTGACATACTCTTACCACTTTGTTGTTTTCTGTTTTGTTTTGTTTTGTTTTTTTTTTTTCATTGCGATACATCATTTTTTATTTGAAAGCTTCATTTTGTTATTTTTTTGTACGGAACGCTTTTGTTGTTGCATACGAAATAAAATATCATTTTAATTGCCTTCATTGTTTAGTTTCCTGCTCCCAGCGTTTTACATTCTGTTTTCGTGCACCAGGTTCTCATCATGCTGTGCCACGTGGTGACTCATTTGGGCTCACGTCCTGTCCCTCGAGCTGTGTCCTTCCTGCCTGCCCTCCCACTCTGCGTGTCCCCTCCTCAGTTCTGGAGGAATGGGTTCATACAAACATCTCCCATTCTTTTTATGCCAGTTGCCTTCTCCTGTGGCTGGTTTTCCCCAAGGCGCTTTACCAAAGTAGGTGCTTCGGGTAGTACTCTGCCCCAGGTCCTGGCAGAGCAGGAGTTCTGCCCAGGGCTGCCCATAAGCCAGAGGTGAGACTGATAGAAGTGCAGAGAACTTACAGGTTCTACTGGATGCTGTCCCACAGGGACTCATGTTCAGTGACTGTATCCTGTGCATCCTTCCAATAGCTTGGTTCTTCCCTGTCTGCACGCTTCAGTGACATGGATTTCACTTACGGGGTTTTATAAGGACCTTTAGGCTGAAGCTACTGCTAAAACAATGTTACCTTGAACTGAAATGTACAATTTCCATTGTACAACCACCATTCCGTGGTTACCGTGGGTATCCTTGGCCTGTAGGAACTTGAAAATCGGTTTGTCGACACTGTAGATTTACAGGTTTATAGTTTCATTGCAGAATCTCCTACTACTGCAAACCTGGAACGATAGCCAAGTTTTTGACAGCACATCAGGAGCAGTGCTGTGAGGGCACCGTGCTGGGCACTGCAAAGGCCCAGCAGGCAATACAGGAGCTTGGTGAGGATTGTGGAGTCACCTGCCTGAAGCAGGGATGGGAGCAGATGCTCTGGGAGGTGCTACCTGTCTCTCTGTTGTCTCTCCTTGTGCAGCTCCCGACTGATCCTGCAGTATTGCCAGATCATGGAGTTTGTCACACCATTTTCCCGCAGCAGTGCCTGTCCTAGGCAGTTGCCAGTTAATGTTGCAGTGCTTCTTTCTTTGGCTGACAGAAAAATTAGCTCTAAAAGAAACCCAACTTGCCCCCAAATTATTTCCGGTGACATCTGCCTGATGGATGATGCTCATACCTGAGCAGTGCTGTAATAAGCTGACTTATCACCACCAATTTTAAATGCTTAAAATAGGTAGCATAAATACTCTGTCCGTCATCACTGTGTAGTATAAATACTGTTCCCATCATCCTGCAGAGATCAGAGTACAGAAGGAGTCAGTGTGTGCCTGGTGCAGTGCAGGCACTCAGCCTGCTCTCCTGTTGCACCCCAGCACCCGTCTTTGGCTGAAGATGTAATACCTCAGCTGATCGGTTTCAGATGAGAGTTTATAGCCCATATTTTCAATTTGATAGCAGGAATTTCATTACACCCGCTCTGCAGACCAAACTTTATTTCACCTGAAGTTATTTTTTTATTGGAAGAATAAATCTTGATTGAGCAGTTCAATTCATATCTCTGTCATTAGTCGTCCTCTTCGGTGCACTGATAACTGCAGTTACCTGACGGGAGTTTCAGGGACTTGAAGTAATCGTGTCATTCTTGAAGTTAATAAAGTGCTTATTGTAGTCTTGGGGGCAAAATGTCTCTGAATAATACATGCTTAAAGTTTACTGCCATTTGTTAGAACTCACTGTTACCAGAAGGCTTTTTACTGAAACAGGCTTTAAGCATGGGAATGGCACTTTCTCTAATAAAGCTATTTTCAGGGGTCTCTTTTAGGAAAATGGTGAGCATAGAACTATAGAGGTTAATATTATATTCCAGATGGGAATGTTGTTCTTTTTCACAGTAATAGTTTCATATATATGAAAAAGCTCATTTAAAGACCATACTGTGCATGTGTCACGTTTCTAGTCTACTTCATGGACAGGCAGTGGAATTTTTTTGTCTTTTGTAAAAAAGAGAAAAAAAAAAAAGGGCTACTAGCAGTCTAAAAAGTACATTTTAAGTCTAGTGTTCATAAATACATGCCATGCATTTTGTAAAGGTACTCTCTAAGCTGGTAGTTTCAGGAAAACCATACAGCTCCATGATGGTAGCAGTCTGTCCACATTCTTACAAACAATCAAGTGGCATCAGCTTTACAAGAAAAATACGTGACAGATCAGGCAATGCCACTGAATTTATGCAGTGCACACATCAGTTGCCTGCAGGTGTCCTAAAGAAAATGAAGATTTTTCCATTTGGGTTAGTTTTTGTGTTTTTACTTGCACTTGCAGTATTTCATAAATATTCAAGCATTTGACTGTGTCCGTTAAAAACACCTCTGCAGAGGTTTCAAGTAAGGATTTCAAAGTTGTCTTGTTTTCTAATCTTGTTGGGTGGGCTTCTAGAGCTGTGTTGCTGGGAACAGAGCTACAGCTATTTTGTAAATACCAGTAAAAAAGCAAGAACTAAACGAACTGTTCATCTATTCACCTTGATGTTAGATTGCCAGAATGAGAATAAAAACACTTAGAAGAGAAAAATATAAATGACTGCCCATGTAAAAAATCTAAAACATAGGTCTTGTAATAGTGTATAATACTGAAATAGAGAGTTCTCTCCACAGTGAACCAAACAAACTGGAGTGTTATAAAAAGGATTAATTGGGCTTTTTGTGGGCAGACATGTTTGAGAACTTAAAGAGTGTTAAAGAATAGCAGTAGAAATTATGTAATGGCTTGAAAGAGAATTTAGATTAAATGTTAAGAGAGCGGTTTCTGTGTAGATTGTTCTGAGGTATTATACCAAACATGGAGGTTATGCAGGAAAACCTGGAAGGGCATTTTCAGTCTAGACAACATAAAGTTATGATGTTATCATGGGAGTCCATGTGTGTTTCTTTATGTGCCACTTGCAGCTTTATAACCCTTTGACCAATTCATCTCATTGGATAGAGAAGGGCTAAAGATTGATTCCAGTGTCCTGAGGTGAAGGCTTCAACCAGAAAGGGAGGTCCTGCATATCCTAGTCAGCAAAAGCTTTGCTTAGAGCGCACATCTTTAAATGTCAAGTCCAACAGAGCAGGGGAGGACAACGTCCAAAATCTTTGAGTTCTGAATCTCACAAAAGTATATTTTCTTTCTGATCCCTGTGGCAGTCTGAAAAAGTGGTTTTCTTTTTCAGTTTCTATGATCAACATTTTACCGGGAAAATGTAAATGACACCTAAGCATCTCTCATTGGAGTCAGCATATAGTTTGAAGATAGGATGTAGGACTGGGATTTACATTCCTGAGGGTGGTTCTGGATCCCACCGTTACCTGTTTTTTCAGTTCAAGCTGGTGTGTTCTTGGGGCTGTGTTTTTTTGTTTGGTTTGTTTTGCATGGGGAGTAAGAAATAGTAAACGTCTTACTTGGAAAGAACACACCTAATCTTAGCATTTCCAAACCAAAGTAGTGTGAACATGGTTTTGAGATGGAAACAAAAACAAAAAGGCAGAGCATGAGCAGAACTGTGGGTGCCCCTGAGGAGCTGCTCCTTTGAGATTGGAGGAGCAAAAAGAACAGCATCCTTTGCTTTGATATCATCTTGGACAAGTCACAGCTTCCCAGACTGACATTTCCCATCTCTAATCCTCCTCCTACACTTCTGGGGTCTGAAAAACATGCACATTTTATAACTGAAGCCATGTGTTGTAAATCTCCTGATGAAGGAAGTACAAACCTCCTGTAGCAATGTACTGTATGTCAAACTTTATTTTTTTTTAATATGTTTACATATGTGTCACAGCGTTTTACTGCTGCTCAGATATTGCAGAAATACAGCTTACCGAGACTAAGACTTGCTGAATCATAGAGTAATTTAAGTCTAAGTAACTTTACTAATAGTGGAGGTCAGGCTCAGTAGCAATTCCTAAGCCACATTAAGTAGAACATGTAACAGCTTTCTTGGAAAAAAGATGCTTGGGTGGTCTGAATATCATCATCTAGTTGGCTGTTGTATTAGTTGTGTTATAGTTTTTAAGATTTGCTTTTTTTTCAGTTGAGTGTTAATATTTTGTTAGAAGATTAAAAACCCTATAGTCATTCTAATGTGAAAATGCCATTAAGAACTTCATCTGCATTCAGAAACCTACAGTCTTTTAAACAACACAAGTATTTGCTGGGGCATGATCTCACTTTTGGACTTAAAGCTATTGAAGGGATGGGATTAGACAAAACATGCTCTGCTTGCCCTGTAGCTTGTTTGCAAAGTTGATTTGAAGCATTAAAGTGACAAAATTATTAAGTATGTTGGATAAATCTTAGGTAGAAGATTGTGAAGCCAGGCAGGGTGTATTCGGTGGAGTGATCACATGAAGCAATCAGGTCTGCATGAAGGCAGCCCTCGGGCTGTCTCAGGGAAGCTGGGAAACATTTCAAAAGCGGAGCAGCACTGGGCACCCTTCAAAGCTAAATGGAGTTAGTGCTCTTGCCACAGCATGGAAAATTGGTCCCGTTGAAGTGCACACCATCAGCACTGGCAGCTGGATGGTACGTCAAGCAAGGACACATCCACATTTGCCTTTCTGTTCTCACATACAAGTGTCACTTGATTTTACTGATGGAGAGTATGTTGTTGTCTCCATTTGGAAGTGGTTTGTTTCATCCCTGAAAATGTGGAATCCAGTCACATCACCTACCACTGTGTGTGCTGGGCTTTTGGGATTTTGTTAATAGCACAAGGTATCTTATTCATTTGACAGTGGCATCCAAATTGTTATGATTTACATTTATATACTGTGTATACTGTGCATTTAACAGTTTTGTGCATGTGATGCTTTTAAGTTGCCTGTGCCATCAGTTTTTTCTGTAATTTGCATGGGTTCTTCACACTAAAAAGCTATGGCAAATCGTATTTTTTTTTAAATAAGGAAATAATTCTAAAAGTTTAAAAATCAACAAGGAAGATTTAGACGTAGGAGACATGAAATTCCCCTATAAAATGATTTTGATAATGAAATGTCTATTGTGTCTCCCTTTGGCTGATTAATTGAATTGAATCTTTTAAGTCACAAATGAGGCCTTATGGATAATTTAGAAAACTATTCCCTTTAAATACAGTTTCACCTCTGACAATTATTTTCTAGTTTCTTTATCTCTCTCTTTTTCTTCAATAAAGAACATTTGCATAAGATGTTTTACAAAGGTTTATCTACCCTGCTGCTTCATCCCCACCTCAGTGATACTGCTCTCTGCACGACACCGCACTCGTTTCCACAGTGACCTACTGCTACAGGGCATTGCTGCTGGAGCAGTGGGACTTGTAAATAAGATGCTGTGCTTTCCATCACAGACTTTGAATAATTCACCAAAATTTAAGTGCAAGATAACAGCTTCCTCAAAGTTAAGCTAATCTGAGAACGGGTTTGGTCAGTGATGGTGTACCCTGGCAGTTTCACTGAAGAAGAAGTCTTAGAATGTGTGCTCTCATCTACAAGAAAAATGTGTTTTTAATAGTAGGACTTCACGAATTATTGGTACCACTTCCTAGTAAGTATTTACTACAATTTTCTCTGCTCAGGAATTTAGCTTCCTATGATGGTGTTTCCCAGCAAGACCAAATGTTAAATAAATTTTTCTCTTGCATTTCATAGAAAATATTTGCAGCTGGCTATTCAGAGAAGTAAAGTTGGTTATTTTCAGTGCAGTTTCAAACCTGGTTTTCATTTCTTTTCTGCAAGCACGTGCAGCTTGTCCCAGCACCAGCCAGCAGTGTCCAGGCTGCATATGCCAAGGAGAGGGAGTTTTACAGCTGGCACCAGGGAGTGAGCTGCAGCCTAGACTGGCATATCCTGTCTCTGGTGCTTTCATCCAACGCCTCCTGCCGCCAGACTCCATGGTGGACTAGCTGAGTGGTTCAGTTCAGACCCAGTCAGTGGAAGGGAATGCAGGTGCAAGTTCAGGCTTAATATGAAGACAGAAAGCAGGGTATCAACCACACAGAGAGTAAAATAGTGAACTGGATGGCAAAATTGTTGAATTGATGGCAGCAAGATAACAGAATAATGTGTGAGCTTAAATTTATTGAGGCTCATGTGCCTCTCAATTCGATGAAATCATCAGTAGCACCATTTCAGGCTCTCTACAGTCCTATCTAGCATCTGTACATCCATATATGCTTGCTCTCCTTTCTTGTTTTATATTACCTCTGCCTAGAAAGGCTAGGAACCTCTGAATGTTTTCCCTCTAAAATGCCAAAGATAATACACCCCAAGCTATATTCAGTCTCCTTTTTTACACTGTCTTACCTTCAAACTTTTTAAGAACAGTTTGAGGAGCCACCACTTTATCTTTTGTTGCTCACTTGGCAAAATAAGTTAAAATACTATTTCTTATGGCAATAGCTGAAAATCTATACCGGGAAAACACTGCAGGTGTGTTTCAGGATCTTGGATTGGTGGTGGTTTATACACTAATACGCCTTTGCATAATATTGAAAGATCAGGCTCACAGCAGAAAAACAATATGTTGTTGGAGTTTTTTTGAGCAGAGAAATAAGAAAGAATTTGAGGTACATCCTGTTGGAGGTGCTGATTCATAGGGTATTCAGACAAGTTTATATATATATATATATATATATATATATTATATATATATATATACATGCTAAAATCCGTGCTTTGTGAATTGCATGCCAGCTTTTTTTCATCTTAAAAGATTTTAATGGTGTGATGTAACTTGAATTTTATAGGAGTAAAATTGCTGGGAGTAAATTGCTGTAAGTAAACCCAAACTCCTAGCACTGCAGATTGTAAGTGACCGAGGATTGAGTTTACAGACTTAGTCCAACAGGTTACTTATTCATTGGTGGCGGTGCATTTACAAGTAGAGAAAATAGGTCAGCTGCACCTGCTGCAGCTTTAGGTCGCGTGTGAAAGGGTGCAAAGTAATGTAAGAAAAAAGATAACTGTATGTTGTTTTTTTCAGGCAAACTGGGTCGCTTTCCACTGAGGATGCATTCCCACGGCACTCCTGACGGCCGAGCTGTCCCTCATTTTCCAAGGTCTCACCTTGCTGAAGCAGTTGCCAAAGCCAAGGCAGGTGGAGGTGGCAGTGGAAGCACTGGTGGAACTGGGAGAGGTCTTGTGGGGCAGATCATCCCTATATATGGATTTGGCATCTTCTTATATATACTGTACATTTTATTTAAGGTAAGACCAACACAGATTGAAAAGTCAGAGAAATAACAAAATACTTTGAAAAAGAAATAATACTCTCATTTGTGTACCTTGTTCCTTTTCAGCTGTGCTCAAAGAAAATGCTTATGCTGGACTTTTGACTGGTGGTCAAAAGATTGGAGTACCCTGTGGTTTTTGCTATTGCAATGGCTAGCTGAGGACACAGGGACAAGTTGCTTTGATCCTGCAATGGCCTCTGACCTCTCACAATTTTTTTAAGGATATTTTTTCCCCCAGAAATGTGTATGTCTAGAACAACGTTAGATTGATTTTGAAGATACACATAGTACTCTTTTCCTTTATTTGTGACTACATATATACTGTGTATGCCACGTGTTGTTTTATGTATTTAAAGGGGGAGAGAGGGATTAGAGTAACTGTGTCCTTTTTTGAACTAAAGCAACACTTTTTTGGAGAGTGGGAGTTTGTAATATTGTATTGACCATGCTGTAAATGCACCAACTGAGGAATGGCTTGAAAGCTATTTTTTAAAAAATTTCCCTCAGGTGTTTCACATGTGATTTGAACTTCTTAGAGATTTTTGTTACACAGACATGATTTGCATGTAGGTGATGACAGTCAGCTGTGTGGGAGGAGGGAGAAGTGGACTTGTGGAAATGTGGGGGCTTTTTTCCTTTGAATGGGGGCTAAATCCAGCCTGAGCAGCGTCCAAAGAGTTGAGTCTGAGCTCGACAGAATGAAGAATGAATTGGGTGAACCAGTCACAGAGGAGATGAAAAAAATAACGTGCAGAGAAGGGCATCGGAGCTGGAGAAGGGTCTGGAGCACAGCTCTGATAAGGAGTGTCTGAGGGAGCTGGGAGTGTTTAGCCTGGAGAAAAAGAGGCTGGAGAAAAAGGGACAACCTTATGGCTCTCCACAACTACCTGAAAGGAGATCGTAGCAGGTGAGGGTCAGTCTCTCTCCCAAGTAACAGCCTCAAGTTGCTGCACCAGGGGAGGTTTAGATTGGATATTAGGAAAAATTTCTTCGCTGAAAGGGTGTTCAGGCACTGGAACAGACTGCCCAGGGAAGTGGTTGAATCGCCATCCCTGGAGGTGTTTAAAAGATATGTAAATGTGGCACTTGGGGACATGGCTTAGTGGTGGACTTGGCAGTGTGAGATTTACAGTTGGACTCAATTATCTTAAAAATATTTTTCAGACTAAATTATTCTATGGGTTCATATAGAGGCAGCCAGTGTCTGTGCTGCAGGTACAGAGTTGGGAAGGAGTAATGACAGAAAGCTTTGCAAGAGGCACGAGTGGGGTTACATGTAGTTCCTTCTGAACCTGCCCTTCATTTCACAATAATTGCCAAATGAGGTTTTTTCCCTCCTATACACAGAAGAGTGGAATGGAAAATTCAGACGTTATTTTTTATGAGTTATGCTTTCACTATGCTTAAAAATATCATTTTTTCCAAATGTCTTTTAGAAGTTTTCAGCAGGCAAGATCTCCCAGGCACCTTTCATGGCTATCTGTTTTTGCTACCGGGCATGCTTTTCTGTGGTTCCCTTCTGGCATGTTTTAGTTTTCTGTATTTTTTTTCTCTTGCCTTTGGGGCTTATATTGTACTATTGTGGTATTTCATAGAAGGGTCATCTTTTATTTACTCCCCAGCTGGCTTCCAAGGGAAGAACTACTCCTGCAGAGCGGAAATGCCCTTCTGCTACACCTGGAAACATGAAGAGGAAAATTAGTAAGTATGGCTTTGAGTTATTTCTGTGTAGCTGTTGGCATGGCCCATGGTTCTTCGAGTTCTGGGCACACTGTAAAGCTGCTGTTTGCCCCCCATAAAAAGCAAACCAGAAGCTTCTGTGTTGGAGTGAGCAAGAGTTAAAGTGAATTACTGCACCGTCACTTTCTAATCTCATTCAGCTAATGAGACTCTGCAATAGTGGCCTGATCCCAAGCCCCTCTGGAAGGAACGGCTTTTCATGAGGTTCACTGAATTAACTGTACGGATTTGCTGAAAAGCTGTGTAGCTAATGATTAAAAATGGATAATAGGATGTCCATCTATAATTATTCTGTAATCCGTAATAGTCTAGTAATAGTGCACAGATATAGTATTATTTCTTTAAATTTGTGAATTCTTAGCCTTTATCAGGCACTCCCGTAATTCGTCCCTTCCTTTTTTTTTTGCAATGGGCAAAGTTTTCATGCGTGCCATAAAGAGAGCAAATAGTATTCTAAAGTGTTTTGATATCACCTAAACATGGGTGAGAATAGGTTCAACTATTTGCAGACACTTATTAGATAAATTAATAAGCTTACTATTGGAGATTGGAGGAATACTTACAATAACAGCATTTAAACGTGTTGTGTTTAGCTGCCTAAACTGTAATAGGAAGGAAAAGTACTTGGTGTTTTACAGAAAGTGCTAGCAGTAAGGTAATTCTCTTAACATAGCTGTAATTATCTTGACAATAATGTGCATATAAGGAATACCTAATGCACTCAGTGCTATGGACTGTGTTTTCAGTGCACTTGTACTGCATTGTGCCTGGCAATTTTGTGCAGTTTATTAGCAATGGTAAATGTATTTTTTTCTCTAATGCTTTGTAAGAGAAAGTAAGTTTGCAGTAAGTTAAACATTTGTCATTGTTATATAACCCAAAGAACTAGCGATGAAAATTATTCTGCCTTTCTCTAGAGCTCTTCATTTATATTCCTAAAGCATTCATGG